CAGCACCTCCCCTCTGGATAGTACCTCCCCTCTGGCTAGTACCTCCCCTCTGGACAGCACCTCCCCTCTGGATAGCCTTCAGACTTTGTTATGCCCCAGGAAGTCGGAATACACACTGTCCACCTCAGGGCATGTCGGTGATTGTGACGCATATTTTGTTGAACAAAAATTAAAACCTTTTTATTTTAATGTAACAAGAACATCTTCACATTTAGATTAACATTTATAAAATGAACTAAATAAAATAAAAATACATTTAAATTACTCATTATTTATTTTCCAAAGTCACAGGGAGCCGCAGCAGAGGGATGAAAGAGCCGCGGGTTGCTGACCCCCTGCTCACGAGAGAGTTTTTCTTTCCACTGTCGCCTTCATGCTTGTTCAAGATGAGAGTTCAGTGATGGAGTTAAACTCAAAGCTGCTCCTCAGATAAATAATGTTCAGTTATTATTTTATATATCAATGTTTCTGTTCAGTCCCTGAGACGACTTCTGTTAAACTGAATTGAATTGAAAACACTTCCTCAGGCGGCTGAGACGAGCTGGTCTGGAAGCTCAGTCCTCACCTCCTTCTCCAGGTGTGCAGTGGAGAGCATCCTGTGCTCCAGCATCAACGTGTGGCATGGAGGCTGCACAGCTGCAGAAAGAAAAGCTTTGCAGAGAGTGGTGAAGGCTGCACAGAAGATGTTGGATGTTGGAGTCAGTCTCCCCACCATCACAGACATCTACACCTCCAGATGCAGGAAGAGGGCCACCTGCATCATGAAGGACCACACTCACCCAGCACACACACTTTTTCCCCGCTCCCCTCAGGAAGGAGGTTGAGGAGCGTTAAGTGTAGAACCACTAGACTGAGGAACAGCTTCTACCCTGAGGCTGTTAGACTCATGAATCTCTAACCAGAATAATCACTGTGAAACCACATGATTGTTGATGTGCTGCTGATTATCCATGCTGCTGATCTCATGCTGCTGATTTATTTCATGTTGCTGTGTTCATTCATCCTCATCTGCTCACACAGACTCATGTTCATGCTGCTGTTGTTTGGCATATTGTTTTTGTACTACTAGTGCTTAGATTAGCGTTTTTCTTAGTTCATATCTTAAATCTTATCACTGTTTTTCTTTACAATTGATACTTTTGTTGGATGTAACTGGGACCCTGTGAACACAGTTTCATTCCACCACATGTACCACATGTGATGAGAACGGCAATAAAGAAACTTTGATTTTGACTTTTAAGTTTGAAACTGTGCCTGCAGTCAACCTACTTCACATATGGGGAGCAATATTATAGGCAGAAACATGGGTGTGCTATGGGGTCTCCAGTTTCTCCTATTGTTGCCAACCTGTACATGGAGGAGGTAGAAAAGAGAGCCTTGACGTCCTTTTTAAGGGACACCACCAAGTCATTGGTTCAGGTATGTTGACGACACCTGGGTGAAAATTAAATCTCAGGAAGTCCAACATTTTACTGACCACATCAACTCTGTGGATAAATACATCAAGTTCACACGAGAAGATGTAAAAAATGGCAAGTTGGCTTTCTTGGACTGTGAGGTCTCAGTCTCTGATAGAGGACATTTGCAAACTGAGGTGTACCACAAACCCACCCACACAGACCAGTATTTGCAGTTTGACTCCCATCACCCTTTGGAGCACAAGTTAGGAGTCATCAGGACTCTGTACCACAGAGCAGACAGCATCCCCACTAGCTCAGGAGCCAGGCAGAAGGAGAAATCCTACACAAGACAGGCTCTAGAGCAATGTGGATATCCTAACTGGGCCTTCCTGAAAGCAGAGAAGAAACCCAAACAGGACTCCAGTCAGCCATCAGGTGAAAAGGAGGAACCCAGACCCAGACCAGTGGTCATTCCATATGTTGAGGGAGTATCAGAGAAACTGAGACGTTTATTTTCTAAACATAACGTCCCAGTGGCTTTTAAATCCCAAAATACATTAAAGACTGGTTCATCCCAAAGATCCAGTCCCCCGGCACAAACAGAGTAATGTTGTGTATGCTGTTCAGTGTCAGGAGGGTGATCAGTCTTACATCGGGGAAACTAAACAGCCACTGGCCAAAAGGATGAACCAGCACAGAAGATCAACATCATCAGGCCAGGACTCTGAGGTCTACACTCATCTCCAGGCCAGCGGTCACTCTTTCAGGGATGAAGATGTTCACATCCTGGACAGAGAGGAACGATGGTTTGAGAGAGGAGTAAAGGAGGCCATCTTTGTGAAAAGAAACCGTCCATCGTTAAACAGGGGTGGAGCCTCCAGGTTCAACTGTCCCTCTCTTAGGATCTGTTTTATTACAATTTTAATCTTTCTCTGTGAAGAAGTCTAATTTCTGAAGAGCCTGAATTACTGCTCCAGAACTGACCCGATCCATTTCAGAGGGTTTTATAGTTTTAGTGAATCTGCTGAAGCTGTGACTCGTTCAGACTGAAAATTATCTGATCAAGTTTCACAACTGAATTAAATATTAATACGTTTAGAGCAGAATGGATGTTTGGAGCAGTGGCGCCGAAGCCCTGTTTGAAAACACCTGAAATGTCCCTTTAATGTTTTCACGAGATACTGGAGCCATTTTACAACTTGTTGCCATGACGACCAGAATCGGCGCAAAAACAGAAAGTAAGAACTGCTTCCTGGATCAGTCAGTCCTCCAGAACACGTTAAAAACATTGTTGTGTTGTTGATTGTTGTTGGGGTCCAAATTCAAACTGAAGGTTTTAATTGATCAGTTATTGATTGATTGATTTTTTTATTCATCTGTTTATTCATCTGTGTTCAGTTTGAACTCTAAAAATAAACTAATCCGTATTTTTCTTTCTGTTTTTTTTTTCTTCTTTTACCAGTTTTTCTTCCAGTTGCACTAATTCTGGCTCCGATGTCCAACCGTCTCTGAGGACACCTGGACGAGTCAGACGTCCATCACAGGGACATAGACTGAATGTTCAGATCGGTTGGTCCTGTAGGAAGACCAGACCAGTCCTGTGGTTCTACAGGAGGACCAGACCGGTCCTGTGGTTCTACAGGAGGACCAGACCGGTCCTGTGGTTCTACAGGAGAACCAGACCGGTCCTGTG